ATCTCGGGAAAGCGGGATCCTGTGCCCTGCCCCGGTGGCCCGTCCACCCACAGACTCTCACGCCAACTTCTCTGAGCGACCTCGGAGCCCGCCCAGGATGGGAGCAGCGTGGGGAAGTCCCAGCGCTGGCCTCCTGGTTCCTTGGGGCGTGGGAATTGTCCCCCCCAGTCTCCGGCCTGGGGCCACTGCCAGTGCTGACTCATGAGGCTGTGACTCATAGCCTCGTCCTGGTCCTCTCCCTACAGACTTCCCCCCCCCAGCCACCGGGGGACCCCAATGTGAGTAGCTCCATCATCACACAGCCCCAGTCGCCAGGGTCCCCCAAGGCTGCAGCTATGGGACACTGGGAGGGCTGGTTAGGGTCTTGGGTGGTGCCCGTGTCTGCCCCATGTATGTGTCCCTCATGCTCCTAGGGAGCAGCCAGGAGAGGCAGGCGTGGTAGTGTACCCCTGTCATCCCAGCACTTGGGAGGCTGTGGCAGGAGGAGCTTCATGAGTCTCACACCAGCCTAGGCTCTCACCTCATTCCCTGAACGACAGAGCAGGGCTGGCCTCTCTCCCCATCTGCCCTGCCTCCTGAAATGCCAGCGGCCGCCCTGCGTGGCAGTGGACACCTGTGATCTCAGCACTCAGGGAGGCTGAGGCAGAAAGATCCCAAACTTAAGGTCAACCTGGGCAACTTAGCAAGATCCTATCTCAATAAAATATAAAAAGGGCTAAGGGGGCTGGGAATTTAGCTCAGTGGTGCTGCCCCTGAGTTCAGATACCCAGGAATTAAAAAAATGGGTGTGAGGGGGCTGAGGGTGTGGCTCAATGCAAAGGCCCTGGGTTCAGTCCCAGGGGAAGGAACAGCTCCCGACACCTGTTCCAAACCCTGCTCCTCCCAGATGTATCTAGAATCCTGCCGTCTCAAGGCCCTGCTGGTCCAAGCCCCATCCTGTCCCCTGAAGTCCAGTCCTGCCACTTCTTGGGCCTTCCTACTCCCAGCAGTCTGTTCCCCTTGCAGCCGCCAGAGGGCAGCTGTGAACCCCAAGTCCTTTCCTTCTCTGCCCAGAAGCATTCATTGTTTCTACTTGTCCCTCACCTGAATTCCCTCGTGCCCCTTTCTCCACACTGGAAACCTGATGTGACCTTCTGCACTGTCTCCTTCCTGCTCTCCTCTGCTCTTTTCCTCGCTGTTCCTCCCTCTGCTCTTCACACCAGGTCTCACACCCAGCCAGCATAGTTCAGTCCCAGGGCCTTTGCACAACTGCCATTCCCAAAGGGATTTCTCCCCACAAGTGCCTAGGGTTTCAAGGTCACTATCACAGTGACAGTGCACTAGGACCTTTCTTTCCAATCCAAGGTTTCTCCTTTCTCTCTCCTGCTATGTTTCCCCCAAATACTTGTAACCTTTGAACACACTAGATGTTATGTTGTTCTTTGTCTCTTCTACTTGTGTCAAATCCGGAACCACCACCTTCTTATTCTCCTTATCCTTCTTCTTCTTCTTCCTCTTCCTCCTCCTCCTCCTCTTCTCCTCGTTATTATTATTTTTTTCTTGTACTGAGAATTTAGGGATTAAGCCTGGAGCCTTTGCGCTGAGCTGCATCTGCAGCCCTTTGAGAGAGGGAGTCACGAAGTCTCCAAATTGCCTAGGCTGGGCTTGAGCTTGGGATCCTCTTGCTTCAGCTTCCCAGAGTCTTGGGATTATAGGTGAGCTCCACTGCCTCTAGTTTGGGACCAGAACTCCATTACTGATGTGACACCTGGAAGAAGGCCTTGGCTGATACCTATTGAATCAATATGATGATAATTACCATATCCCCGAGATGCCAAAGAACGCAGCAGATGTTTCACCTGCCTGCCACCATCAGCAGGGGTGGGGTGGGGAGAGTCACGGAGATGGTGGGTTACGTGACAGTTTTCAGCACTGACAGCTAGAAACGGGGGATTTCAGGAAAGGGACAGGGCCTGGCCTGGGGGATTGGGAGCAACATGGGAAGACTTCTTGAGGAGGGGAGGTTATGCTATCCCTTGATAGCCAATGAGGAGTCTGAATTTAAAGTAAAGTGAAGCCGGGCATGGTGGTGCACACCTGTATTCCCAGTATTCAGGAGGCTGAGGCAGAAGGGTCGCTGTGAGTTCGCAGCTAGCCTGGGCTACATAGTGAGTTCAAGGCCAGCCTGGACTACATAGGGAGATCTTGTGTTCAAACAACCGAATAAACAAATAAATAAAATGAAGTGAGAAGGCAGCTGTCTAGGAAGCTGAGGCAGGAAGATTGAAAGTTCAAGCCTGGCCTGGGCAACTTAGTGATTTAAGGAGACCCTGTCTCAAAATAAAACCAGGCTGAGGATGTACCTCGCTGTGAGGAACCTGGGTTCAACCCCCAGTACTTCAATGAATAAATGAAGTTCCACTTTTTCCTTTTTTTAATGTGGCCCCTAAACTTCTGGTAAGTCACTCACGGCCCATGTGCGGCCCCCAGCATGATTCTTAGACGTTGCCTCTGCCACCTTCCCTCTCATTACGCCTCAGGTGACCTCCCATCACACCACGACACAGCAGCCACATTAAATCCCCTTTCAGCCTTGCTGTCCTTAACCTCTCTATAGAACCTGTCACTTTTGAACACTTCCCCCCCAGCCTAAGTATTCCACATCCTGCTGGCTTCTCTGTTCCTCAGTTATTTGTGAGATAAAGTCTACCTGTCTTCCCTGGGCATGTTTTGTTGTGGTTGTTATCTTTTTTGTTCGTTTTACTTCATTGTTTTGAGATGGGGTCTCACATGTGTAGCTCAGGCTGGCCTTGACCTCGAAGCAATCCTCCTGCCTCAGCCTCCCAGGTCCTGAGATGGCAGGTGTGTGCCACCGCACTTGGCTTAGTATGTGAATTACATATCAATAAAGCTTGTATTTAAAAATAATTCACTTTAATAGAGTACTACTCTGCTAAAAAGAAGGATAAACTTGAGGCATTCATAGGTAAATGGATGCACCTTGAAACCATAATGCGAAGTGAAATAAAACAGACATGCAAGCTTCAACATTGCAAGTTTCTCTTACATAGAAACCTTAAGTATAAATAATGAGCAGATAAAAGATAGATAATAGGAAGTAGGGAGATCTTTTTCAAACGGGAAGGGGACCAAGAAATGGGGGGGGAGGGAAAGGGATGAAAAGAAGCAAAGAATGGGAATAGAGCTTTTACAAAGGGAAGGGAACGAGAGATGCGGCACCAAGGACAGAGGAGATGAATAAAGACTTGAGATGTGTCCTACACACAGCACCGACTCCCCACGAGGGACGAGATCACCACGTACTGCAAACATGCCTAATACAAAAATCTAATCTCACTAGATGTGGTGATGCACACCTGTAATTCCAGGCCTCTGAGAGGCTGAGGCAGGAGGATCCCACATTTGAGCCCTTCCTGGGCAGCTGAACAACACAGCCAAACGTTGTCTCAAAACAAAAAACAAAAAGGGCCGGGGTGCAGTTCAGTGAGAAAGCCTGGGTACAGTCCCTAGTGCTGCAAAAGGTAAATAAAGTTTCTTTCTTTGGGTTTTTTTTTTTTTTTTTTTTTTGTACAGGGGTCCTTTTGTT